AGGGATAGTAAGTAGGCATATTGATCAGTTAAGGAAAAGAGAATGTTACAATAGTTTAAAATATTATGAAATTGACCCTAAAAATTCCTCTAAAGGGGGAAGTGTGGACATAAAGAATGAGATTAAGATACCAATTACTAGACCAATAAGAATTAAAAATAAACCTGATTACTTAAAAGATTACGTGCTTAAAATTTAAATATAAAACGCTTAAAACGCTAAAAGTATAAAACGCTATAAAAAATAATATAATAATCGTTATGATTTATCATTCCTTATTCCATAAATTATCATTCCTTATTACATATTTTATTGTTCCGAAATTCAAAATTTTATTTGTGTATATTATTCATACATTTGATTTGATCAACTATTCCAAATTATATATTCCGATTTATTCCAAATTCCAATATTCAACTGGATTAATGATAATAACAATTTTGAGAAATGTGAACAACATACGATAAGGATATCAAACCAACGATAACGTTCAACGATTTTATCAAACCCAAGCGATTGATTCAAGCCTACAGAAAACGTACAAACTCACGCAACTCTAATAAACGATTTTACCAAACCTACGTGATAGAATCAAGCCTACGAAAACATTTGAGACTTATGCGCTAACCAAGATTAAACCGAGTACAATCGAAACAGGAAAAACTTCTAGGACAACAAGCTCTCGATGACTGCTGAGAAGAAGCTTCGTTGTTTGTAGAAGAGGGGGAATGTTGATTGATTTAAATTTGAATATTATTTATTTTATATGTTGATTGATTTAAATTTGAATATTATTTATTTTATATGTTGATTGATTTAAATTTGAATATTATTTATTTTTATATTTAAGTTATTCAATTAACTTGTAAATTTTATATATATATAATGTTTTTAGATGAAAAAGATAATAATAAAATATAATAATAAAATAGTTAAAATAAGTTCTTACATTTATTATTTACAAAACTACTATTAAATTGATAACTTGCTACCTTATTACTAGATGATCCGGTAATTCTTTAATAAAGTTTGCATCAGATAGAGTAATAAATTAAGCTCTCGTTTAAAATTTTAATAGTGATTAGTGTAACCAAGATGGCGTCTCCAGCTGATTTGCATTGATGTACACTTTTAATGAATGAATCGTCAGTCTAGGTATTATATATGATATGTCATTGGACAGTACTGTCCAGTGTGACAAGGCTTTTATATATATTATAGATAAATAGATGAGTGGTTAATTATAAGCATGTTTAACTCCAGATAATAATTTATAAAATATTATCATTAAATAGATGAAAAATAAAATTTTAGTATTAATTATTTATTGTAATTTTTAATTTATATAATATAATTCTTGAATAGTATCTTATGGTCAATTGAAACAAACGATTTTGGGATTTGGACTGGGCTAGAAAATTAACTTTTACATAAACTTATCTAGCTCAAAAACTATTATAGATACAGCTTTAATCTAAATTTTATTTTAAAGATTAAGAATTGGGCTACACATTGATATTAAATTTGTTTGGTGTATTACTTTTAATTGTTTATTCATTGACAGTGGCGTAGCCAGGATTGATTCATGGGGAAAGGGGGGGGGGGGGTATAAATAAATCGCATTTTAAAAATTTGCCAGCTAATATTTTGTGCTTTATTGGTGTCTAACCACCATTGTAGCCAGCATAAATGAAAAAATATTAGTAACAAATTGGCCAAATTTATGATTAATACAGGACTGAAAGCATTATTCTGAAAATTTTATCAATGTTTAGTCAATTGTAAATTAATTCTATCCATTCGATGTAGAAAGAAGAATACAATCGCCCCTCCCCCTCCCAAACCTCCCATTTTTTTGATCATTCAATAAATCTTATTCTATGTTAAATAATTATTTTAATTAAATTTTTGCATAAAACAAAAATTTGCAGAGAATTTCATTATAGATTTTATTTATTATTTAATACAATAAAATAAATTTCAAAATGTATATATTTAGATTATATTAAAAATTTATTCTAAATAACTATATTTAAAAAAAATAGAATTACAATAAAATATGAGTAATTCTTGTACGATATTTTAAAAAATATAATTTAACAATTATAATTAATACAAATTATATTAAGAAAACATAAATAATTCTTATTAGAGATCCGCAAAAGTAGGAAAATCAGGTTCGGGCTGGGTCGGGCTTAATATTTTTTAAAAAAATCAGGCCGGGTTGGGTCGGGCCTTGGAAATATTTTTAAATATATCAATTTTATGTTAATTTTTTTTGTAAAATAAAAATATTATATTTTATTTATAAAACTAGACGCCATATAACTTATATCTTTTATTTTGAGTAATTATAAAAATGAAATTCTATATTTAAATAAATTCGGGCCGGGTCGACAAAACTTTTTAAAAAAAAATCAGGTTCGGGCCGGCTAAACTTTTTTAAAATAATTTCGGGCAGGGCCGGGCTTGAAAAATTAGGCCCGATCCAGATCACTAATTTTTAGTGCAAATGCAATACTTTTATTTAAAATAGTATAATATATAAATATTATGACTAAGATTTCATTATAATTACGTTTTGAATATAAAAATTTTATGACTAAGATCATATTAAAATAATATAGCAATTTTATAATTTGTATTTATAAAGAGAGGACTACTTTTCTCTGAGGTCTGACTAATTCATCTAGAATCAAATTTTTATCTAGAATATTCTCCTTATAAATATTTAATATTGCGAATGCATTTAAACTGCTTTCACCGGTGCTATTTCTAAAATAGGTTTTTAACCTTTTCATAGTTGAAAAACACCTTTCATTAGTGCAGGTGCTAATAGGTAAGGTAGCTAAAATAAAAGGCAATGTTTTGTATTAGGCCAAAATTTTCATACCAAAATTCGACATCACAAAGTAACTTATCATACGATCCTGATAATTCATCAGAATAAAACTCTGAAATTTTAATATCCTCTCGCGTTTTAGGTGTATTTAGACTCAACCGGCAAAAGAAAATAAAGCTGTTTAAAATAAAATTGTGACTAATAAATCTTTCCTTTAATTGAAATAAAAATGTATCAATAAGAGGAGTAAAAATATTTATTTTATAAAAATCCTCAATCGTAGATGCATCAATATTTAAGTGATTGGACTATCTAGAAACTACTCTAGGTTTAAAATTTTTAATCCCAAACATATTAGCGATCACCTTTACTTTCTGATAATATTTACCAAATTAAATGATTTTTCTTTTATTTAAAAATTATAAAAAATTAATTAAAATTTTTAAAACTATCTAATTGGTTTAACAAATATAAATTTTATTATTAAATTTATAAATATCTAATCTAATTTAACTATGCGAGAAAAAATTTACGATTGTTTCATATCGTATATATTTTTATTTATAAATTGAAACCGTTTTTTAAATAAAATTATTCGCAATAAGAAAAAAATTTCCCTAAAAAATTTTTTTTTTCGGAGGTTATTGGGGGGGGGGGAGGATGGTTTAACCCCCCCCCCCTCCCTTTTCTACGCCACTGTTGATTGAAGCTACTAGTCTTATTTGATGAGTAAACCTTCTGCATCTTAGAATGAAATTTATACTCTGTTAATTTTTTTATCTTAATTAAAATATTTTGTAAATTCAGGAAAAGGAAATTCAATATTATCATCATTTTCCAGGGAAATTACTTTGTCAATATGATCTATACCAAAATTATCTTCAATATCAATCTATCGTCTACATTTAAAATTATCTTGAAAACTATTGCTGATTTTTATAAATTTCAAAAAAAATTTATGGTTTTAGAATTAATTATTAATATATTTTAATAATTTTTATTTATTATATAAAATTGAAAGTAGAAGAGTAGCGCGCAACTACTTTCTAAATTATAAAGCTACTGAAAAATAAAATACCACAGAGGCAAAAAATTGACAAATTTAAATAAAATATGATCAAGTTATTGTGTATGTTTTTCAAAAATTTCTTAAAGTATTGATGGCAGGTAATGTTAAAAATCTAGATCTAGCTGATTTAAAAAAATCGATTAAATCAAGATTCAAGCAAGTATTACCTAGCTTCAAAAAAAATTTTCAATATTTCTCATTATTTGCCAAAATATTGAGGCTTAGGAAGTATTTGCTTGGTTTAAATCTTGATTATTTTGTCAAGTTTGAAGATCATAAAATTAAAAAATTTTTCTAAGATCTTTTTAAAAAATTATGATGTTATTATGTAAGATTTTTTATGCATAAAAATTAGAAAAGATTTACTTATAAAAGATGATTTGGAATTTTTGGTAAAATTGATCTAAAATCCTGTTCAACCATTCTCAAAAAATCATTGAAGATTTTTTATTTTTGAGCAAATACAGTAACATTATTGCCAGGTATCAGGGTATTGGAAAAAAATATAGTAATGTTAACAGTACAACTTACAAGAGATGAAATCATAAAACATATTTGCCATCTTATATATATTGAAAAATTTTATTGTTGATATCTAATAAATTTTTTATAAAATAGCAAATATAAGATTACATTTATATAACAAACACTATTATGGGAATAGAAATTCTCATGTACAATGAGTATAATCTTAGAAATTTGAGCAAAAATAGGTATTGCCTTAAATAACATGTAATATAATATTTATTAGTTAATGATTGGTATTATTTATTCTGAAACTTTTTCCCAACAAAAGTTGATCAATATGCATAAAATGTTGGGTGGCTAAAAAGATATCAAAATTTGAATTTGTGTAAATTTATCAATTAAAAATATTTTAGTTTACATCTAATATTTTAAATATTGATAAAAACTCCATAAATTAATTTTTACTTTAAATAGGGTATAAAAGGTACATTCATTATTGTGTTCTGAGAAGGCAAAAATATAAATATATATAGGCTATCAAAAAAAAGGAACTTAAATTGAACAATTTATGAAATGCAATATTACAAACTATTGATTTATCTATAAATATGGCTGGTTAGGTTAACCTTCAATTATCTTAAACATTTGATTATAATCTTGAACCCATTTTGACTTGGCTTTAGATGCATTAATGTGTTCAATACATAGCTCATGTCTCCTTATATCTCTTGAACTCTTAGACCAAGAGTCCCATCCATGAAGAGTCCAGGTTTGACTGCATTTTCTGCCAAATAGCATACAATTCAAGCAAAATGCTTTGTTGTAATTTGGGCTATAAGATAGCCAGTCTCTTAAGCTTTTGTTATAATCAAGATGCTTGCCTGATATTGATCTAGAATACCATGAATCTAAAAATCGAATATTCTTTTTCTTATCACAGTGATAGATTGTAGTAACAGGAAAATTAAAATCTTGAGATTTTGGCTGACAAGGTCCAAGCCTCATAAATTCATTTATAACCTTAGGAGTAATTTCAACATTAACCAGTAGAGATGGATCATTAGGATATAAAGAAGATAGAATAGTTTTGTTTTGATATGTATTCTTGTTATCATTAGGTGTATAAAAAGTTGGGCTTGAGCTTGAAAAATGATGCAATGTTGGTTGGTTATTTTCTCTTAATAAATGGTTATATATTAATGACATATTGTTTGAATGTGAATTTGATATATCCAAATTATCACTTGAATTATTAGAGGATGATTGTTCATATGGTTTCCAAGGGGCAAATCCCTCTTTAATTGCTATAATTTTAAATTTAACATTTTCTCTGGCTACCCTTCCATGTCTATTCCGACAATGTTGAGCCCATTTGTCATTACGAATACTTTTAACAGTACAACAAGGTTGAAGACAAGTATATTTAAATAATTTAGATTTAGAAGTAATTTTAGGCATTAGGCGATAATTAGTATGATTATAAATATTGTTTTTAATTTTTTTTAAAGTGCAAAAGTAAAGGTAAAATATGCTTTGTAATTTAAGAATTTATAATTTGTTTTTATGAATATTCGAAATTTATGTTATTATGAAAATTTTTTAAAATAATTATATATTATTAAAAAATAACTATTAATACAATTCCTCGGTAGTATAGTGGTAAGTATCCCCGCCTGTCACGCGGGAGACCCGGGTTCAATTCCCGGCCGGGGAGGTTTTTTTAAATTTATTTATTTACCTCAACCCAACTAATGATTTTTTTACCTTCATTTTTTGAAATTATTCTGAATTTTGAATTCAGAATTTTTGGATTTCGAAATCAATTTTGCTCTTAGCTTTTATCTATTTTTTGACTCATTAAATATTCAAATAAAAATTTTGGCCAACCCCTAATAGTTATATATTCATGACCAGGGTTGCCAGGTCAAAATTTTCAAATTGCGGGAGATATTTGGTATTATGCGGGAGAAATATGAAAATTGCGGTAGAAATATAAAAATTTCTAAAAATCACGAGAATTTAAATTTAAGGGAGTTATTTTATAACTTTTTAATCCGACAGTATTACTTAAAGAGCTCGATTTTATGCCTGACGATTTGGCCACAGTTGGTGCAAAAGTTTTTGACATTTATTAACGAAATCTCGAGGCTTGGAAGATATTTTCCTGGCCAAAATATTGAGTTCGCCATAGGCTCAAATTGATCCTAACAACACTATCTGACATAGACAGTTGATGGTAATTTTATTTGTCAGTAAAATAAAATAAAAAATTGACATTAAGATGTTGAATTACAAATTAGACTTGTTTCGGCATAATATAAAAAATAATTTGAGCGAATTGTCAAGTCGAAATAATCGGCTTCTTTATTATTACATTTCATTTTTATAAAAAAAACCAATAAATCATCTTATTTTTATGAAGCTATTTAATAATACCCTTGCAGGCCTTCGGCCGGGATTTTGAATTGACTTAATTATCCGCCTATTATTTTTTATAATTAGTTTATATAAATACAAAGTCGGTAACTATTTTACAAAATAAAATAACATATTAATTAAAATATATTAATTTTAAAAAAAACCAACAATCTTTTTTAAATATAAAAGAATGTAAACAAGATAAAATTTTATTTAAAAAAAAGATTTTAATTTTACAATTAAAAAACTATTTAATCTAGTGTGTGTGTATAACTTTATAGGGATAGGCGCTTAATTATCACGAATCACGTTTAAATACTTAATAAGGTACTCCAAAAATAAGAAATAATACAGATGCAACTTCAGTTGCGACAATTGTAATCACTTATCTTGTAGTACAACATTCACAGAAAAACTTATTTCCCATAATATTTAACGACTCTAATATAAATGAAAACTATACTTGTAGAACAAAATGAACAAGGCTATCATCAATATTTTAGGACCTAAATCCAGTAGGTCAATTCTTGACGATTTGAAAGATGGGTCTACATATGCAATTCTAACAGATGCATCTAATAAGAGAAATTAAAAAAAATATCTCCCTTGATCCTCTGCTATTTCAACAAAATTAAGGTCGTTTCAATATAATTATTAAATTTTTTCCCCTCAAATAGTGAAAAATCCAAAGACATAGCTAACCATATAATGGTAAATATAACAGATTCGAGATTATCAATAAATTGCATGTCAGCTTTCTGATCTGATAATGCCTCAGTGAATTTGGTAAAAACCGAGTGTATTTACAGAATTGACTCAGCACAATGTTGGTTGCGATATGTTCCTAATACCCGCCATCAATAGAATTTTAAAATTTTATAAACCTTTAAAAAAATATTTTTTTAAATAAAGATTATAAAAGCTGTCCTAACATTTTGAAAATTTTTCCAATAATGAATGGCAAAGGTATATTTAAATGATTTCACATGTAGGAAATTTACTACATGCTGTTAATGTGTGTAGTTGCAATCAGAAGAATCTTAATAAAGATTCACAAAATTATGCTGAAGATGTGTTCATCTTTACAGTTAATAATTGACATAAAATTTTATAGCGCCATTGCTAAAACATAATTATATTTTATTTGAGATTATATAATAGAACTAAATGTTTACCGTCATTATTGAGATATTTATAAAATTCCTGGCATGACATATTATTAGCTCGGCCTCTAATGTTGTTAAAGCAATCCGATTTCTCTCCTTTATCCAGGCAGTCCTCATCAGGCTAAAAATGCGCTCAGATGAGGCATTAGAATGAGGTAAGGAGAAGACATACTCGCATATTTTTTCCAAGCATGGGGATTTATCGTTATTACGAAAAAATTCTACCCATTTCTCCTCTGCTTAGACCATCTAACTATTTTGGCGAATCATAAAATATAGAGAGAATTACAATCTCCTCAAATAAGACATCAATGTCTTTTGGTATTTTTAATATATTTATTAAATTATAAAAACCATCAATTGATGGTTTCTGTTCCAAGGTCATAATATTTATACATTTGTAAATAGAGTTATTAAAATCAAATTTTGATTGTAAATATTCTAAAATTGTCTTAATAAAAATATCTGCTTCATTTAAATATGTATTAATTATAGTGTTATTTGAACATTTCAATATAATATTTTTAGCAATAGCGCCATAAAATTTATTATCAATTTTTAACTGTAAAGATGAACAGAGCTGTAGCATGATTTTGTGAATTTTTTTTAATAAAGAATATTCTGATTGCAACTGAATATTAACTGCATGAAGTAGATTTCCTACATGTGAAACGAATCCCAAATATGCTTTTGCCATTTCATACTCGAAAAAAATTTTCAAAATTTTAGGACAGCTTTTAAAATCTAAATTTAAGAAGTTTTTTTAAGTTTATAAAATTTTAAAATTCTATCGATGGCAGGTATTAATGACAAGCACCTGATAGGTATATATCGCAACAGGGGCGTCGCTAGCCTTTACAATCTCAGGGGGCTCAGCCAATTTGCGAGCCTTTGGCCCACTTTTGCACGGGTTTTATATTAATACTAGTTGATAACCCATCAAGAATGACGGGAATAAAAAAATCATGAACTATCACAGGAAAATTTTTTTGAGAACATTCAGTGAATTTTCTAAAATTTGGAAGTAAATTCCATTAAATAAGGAGATTGAAAGTATTTCTTTTTTCCATTATCTATATAAAAATAGCTGGTAGTAATTGAGGTATCATTAATAGCCTGGATAACCTGATCAAACGCATGTTGCTGTAAAACATTTAGATTGGCTAACATTACCATTGCGACATCTGCTTCTATTATTGGGTCATATAAATTAGATTGAGTGATAGGGTCAGAAGATGGAAAATTAAAATAGTTGCAATTGAACCCAGGACAATCTACATAGGTTAGAAGTATGGAGGATATTCCTGTGGTAGCAAAGGGTAAGACATTTTTTTGTTGTCCTCTAAGATAGTGTAGTAGAGTATTATAAAGATATGTCGTCTTACCTGATCCACCAGGAGCATCTATATAGTAAAATCTGGTAGTAATTGAGGTATCGGCAATAGCCAGGATAACCTGATCAAAGGCATGTCGCTGTAAAACATTAACTCCTTACATAAAGATTTTATGAAAGTAAAATTTTTTTTTATCTCAACCACAATATGGGAACTTTGCAAATAGTTTAAAATACCTATTTATCAATATCTTCCCATGCCAGAAAATTAACCTTCCTAACTAATCCTAAGTACTTATTATAAATTAGATTTAACAAATAAATTTAAATTATATTTAGCCAATTGAAAAATAAACATTTATCTCATATTACCACCTAAAAATATGCCAGTATTCTCAAACAATATTTGAACTCTGGAAATGACATACAATACCAATTTAACAATATCTACCTACATTTTTAAATATTCTGTATCTTAAGAATCTCAAATAAATAAATAAAGTTTGCTTAGTTAAAAAAGAAAATAATTAAACATCTGTTTAATTACTGTCTCTTATATGCTGGGGCCTTTGGCAGATATGCTATTATGTCCTGTTGTAATCATTTCGTTATTAATATCAACATGTGAAATGCAGATTGAGTATGGGTCAGTTGAGACTTAGTTGTACATTTGCTCAAAATAAAAAGATCTTCAAAGATCAAAATTTGAAGATCTTTTATTTTTTTAAAATTTTGTAGATCTTTGAAGATCGCTGCGATCAACGATCTTCAAAGATCTTCATAATATTTATTTTTTTACCCCTTTATTAAAAGCCCAGATGTTTTTCAATTTTATTAATATAATATTTCTTTTATGTTTTATACCTCTCCTCCTGCCTTGATGAAAATTGAAAAACATCTGGGCTTTTAATAAAGGGGTAAAAAAATAAATATCATGAAGATCTTTGAAGTCGTCACACAAAATTTTTAAAAAATAAAAGATCTTCAAATTTTACGATCTTCAAAGATCTTGCTCAAATTTTTGAGCTAGATCTCGCTCAAAAATCTTCAAAGAAGATCTTTTGTACAACTCTGTTTTCTGATAACCAGAGGTAAGCTCAAACAGCGTCTACATGACAATATTTTCCATGGATGCAAACCCCTTCGAAAACCTTTGCCTACCCCCCTAAAAAAATTTGGCCCCTTATTATTATTTTAAAATTTTAAATTTATTGATACTCTTTTCAGAGAATTTATAATAACTTAAATTAATCTATCTCTACTACCAACTATCTATATTTTGTGAATATAAATAATTTATTTTTTAGATAATAAATTCAATTAAAACCTCCATTATTTACAATGAATTAATTATTATGGCATTATGAGCTTGCTGAAATGATAGCAGAAAGTTTTATTTGGAAATTTAATAGATAACCCCCCAAAAAATTTATTTTACCACTATTAAAGCAGCCTACCCCTTACCCCCATTAAAGCAGCCTACCCCCCCCCCCCTCCCTCATAAAAATAGGATGCGAACTGTTCCTACTCCTCCCGCTCAT